GTCTCAACTGCTGGATGTTTTGCTTTTAACTTAATAGTTTAGCATGTGAATGAAGCATTCAGTATAGAAAAATGTCACATATTAGCATTCCTATAGGATAAATTAACAATAGAACCCAGGTCCAAAAAATAACAAAAAAATTACCAAAAACTGATTTTTGCGTATATTGGTGGGCTTTGTCATAAAAATAATCAAACTATACTCCAAATTTGTAGTTAAGCTCAGTATCCAACTAATTAGAAACTAATATCGGGCCAAAATCATGTGGAAATATGTTTTATTCAAGTTTCAAGGTTTTTGGCTTGGTGGACTTTTTTTTGGAAGTGCCCATATGTATTTGCACCAGAGTGAAGAGATATAAATAATATATATAAAGAGCATTTGGACTGAAATCCATGTTTTAATACATAAAAACAACAAGAGCGAACGCTATAGTCGGGTTGGTGTCCCGACTATCTAATACCCGTCACTCAGCTAAAGGGAGTGCGAGGGAGATAGATATATAAATTTTTATTGCGTAGACCTTTTTAATGAATGGTCCGATTTGAAAAATGTCTTCTACATTTCGATAGGTATAAATATACACAACAAAATTGCATTTATACTTCTCGGAAATCTTAAAAGATTGTGGGCGTTAGAGGGGGCGTGGCGCTCGGCTAAAATAAACTTGCGCTGCGTAGGAAGCCAAAGAATATGTGTGGGAAATCTCAGCCTTCTAGCTTTTGTAGTTTCTGAGATCTCAGCGTTCATACAGACGGACAGACGGCTAGATCGACTCGGCTAGTGACCCTGATCAAGAATATATATACTTTATAGGGTCGGAAACGCTTCCTTCTCCCTGTTACATACTTTTGCACGAATACAATATACCCTTTTTATCTACGAGTAACGGATATAACAAAGGCTGGAAGTCTCTCCTTTACTGACTAAAATTAAAATACCATTTCACGGGATGCAGAATCCAAGTTCAAGCTTCTTTTTGTCAGAGGTAGTGCGTCTAAATTTGTTTCATAGGACTATGTAAAAAGAACGTCCATAATCGGTATAGCAAACCCGTGGCGTCCAAGTAAATTTTATTTTTGATCAAAAAAATTTGAAAATCAACAATAATACCAAAGACCCTAAAAGTACCCCACTTTTGCCCACATCTAGTTGCCTATACACATCCTATGTAAAAAAAACAGGGTTATGTCAACAACCCCGTAACTCCATAACTCCACCCCAGTGTAAATAGACTATAAGTTTCTATGACAGTTTCTAGATTATTTCTTAACAAAATAAATTTGGTTTCAAAAAATCGGATCTACACAGCGATCTGTGACCGATCCGCAGCTGTCTTACTTTTTGAAGTGTAACTTCTTTAGACGCGTTATGCATTTTCGGGGACGGAGTAAAACCAATTCATGACAGTCACGAAAATCTTCTTCTTCTCTATCACCGCTGACGAACGTTCTCTTTATACTTTGAGCGCTTAGAGCGAAGAGAGAAAAGAAGAGATATACGTACAATGTATATATATTTATGTGTATATATTTGCACATAAAAATATAAATATATATATTTGAATTTTTATGTGTATATGTGTATTTGCACCATGTGCGAGCACACTCAGAGTGAAGAGAAATCCATGTTTTTTATACATAAACAAAAACTGACTAAATTTGAAATACCATTTAACGGGATGCAGAATCCAAGTTGAAGCTTCTTTTTGTCAGAGGTAGTACATTTGCATTCGTTTCATAGGACTATATAAAAAGAACTCCCAGAATCGGTATAGAAAACCCGTGAGTTTTATTTTTGATAAAAAAAAATTAAAATCAATCATTATTTTTGAGTTTTATTTTTTCCGATCAAAAATAATGATTATTTTCATGAAATAATAATTATTTTTGAGGAATATTATAAAAATCTTAAAAATAAAAATCATGGTGAAAATGGATAGATTAACCATAGAGGATTCCTATGGTGTTTTCCTTTTTGCATACGTCGATCCTAAGTGCTTGATTTTTTGGTTCAAAAAATAGATCAATAATCATTATTTACGGTGCCTGGTAATTTGTAATTCTTATATTGTTATTTATGTAGTTTTGTATACTATATGAAATAAGCCAAATCCATGCTTCGTCCTTGAATTATTTGACCTATAATCATCAAACTAACCTAACACAGAAAAAAAGAGATAATGAAATGATAAACGAGAGAGGAATACTACAAGTTTCACTTCTGTCGTGCGTAGGCTTGACACACACATTTTTATACCCTTGCAGAGGGTATTATAATTTAAGTCAGATGTTTGCAACGCAGTGAAGGAGACGTTTCCGACCACATAAAGTACATATATACTTGATCAGCACCAATAGCCGAGTCTATCTAGCCATCTCCGTATGTCCGTTTCTATGCGAACTAGTCTAGTTTTAGTAGTGTTCCAGCAATCGCTTCGCATCCACCGATATATTAACCGATAGTATCGGCTATAAATATTAGTGGATGTTACTCAAATGACACTTAATAATATACAAAAGTTTTGAATTAAATGCATCCAACCAGTTTTTATAAAAAAAATCGCAAAGTTAGTCGATTAGGAAAAACTTTGCATCAAAACATTTTTGTTTTAAGCCACAGGAAAAAAGTTGAAAAAGCTAACAAAAAACAACAAGAAAGGAAGCTAGCTTCGGCCAGCCGAAGCTTATATACCCTGGCAGATCGTTCCTATTAACACACAAATCGCAAAAATGTTAAATTTCGTATTATTTTGACATTTTTGTTTCTATTCTTCCCCGTTTCAGCTATATAATATAGTCGTCTGATTTTTGTAAAATTTAATTCGAAATTCGGAAATATTATAAAAAAATTATATCCTACAGTAGAAGAGAATACAATAAAAACCAACGGAGCTATAATTTGTTTCCATTTAATTTCCCATTAATTTTTCGATCGTTCCTGGCAGCTATATGATATAGTCGTCTGATTTTGATAAAATTAAAATTGAAATTCGGAAATATTTAAAAAAAAGTCATGTCCTAAAGTAGAAGAAAATACAATAAAAACCAAAAAAGCTAAAATTTATTTCCAATTACTTTCCCATAAATTTTTCGATCGTTCCTATGCCAGCTATATGATATAGCCGTACGATTTTTAAAATACTTAATTCGAAATTCAGAAATATTTAAAAAATAATATCCCCAAGAGTAGCAGGTAATATTTCAAAAAACACCGAAGCTAGAATTTTTTTACCGTTTTTTTCCGATCCTTCCTATGGGAGCTATAAGATATAGTTGTCTGATCCGGTCGGTTCCGACTTATATACTACCTGCAATAGAAAGAAGACTTTTGGGAAAGTTTCAAGCCGGAAGCTTTAAAACTGAGGGACTAGTTTGCGTAGAAACGGACAGACAGACGGACGGACAGACGGACGCACAGACGGACATGGACGGATTTACTGCGTTGCAAACTTCTGACTGAAATCATAATACCCTTTGCAAGGGTATAAAAAAGGGGGGTGGAGGGGTTGATATGGAGCGTCCCATATACAAATAAAAGTTTTGAAAAAATGCTTTAAAGAGAAACAAAACATTTTAAACAAGAAAGGAAGCTACCTTCGGCCAGCCGAAGCTTATATACCCTTGCAGATAAAGTAAATACCTATAGTTTAATGCTCACTCGGTGCAGTTCCAGGGATTCCAGATTCAGCGTGCCTATTTAAATTTTGATTTTAAGTTATCAAAAGTCAAAACGCCTACTTCCTACAAAGTTACAATGAATTTTCTTATATTTGTTTGAATATTCCTATGGGAGCCTTAAAATATAGTGGTCCGATCCGGCTCGCTCCGACATATGTACTACCTGCAATAGAAAGAAGACTTTCGGGAAAGTTTCATCGCGATAGCTTTAAAACTGAGAGACTAGTTCGTATAGAAACGGACATACGATCAGACAGACATGGCTAGATAGACTCGGCTATTGGTGCTGATCAAGAATATATATACTTTATATGGTCGGAAACGTCTCCTTCACTGCGTTGCAAACTTCTGACTGAAATTATAATACCCTCTGCAAGGGTATAAAAAGAGGTAGAATTTAAAAGTGATAAATATTTAACGGCCACTATGATATTTTTCTCAAAAGTAAAACGAAATACCAGCATTTTTCTCTTGCAAAAGCGGAGGGTCAAGCGTGTTTTTAGTCTCATATAGTCTCTTGGACAAAATGGCTTAGAAATGCCCAGGGATGGTTTTCCGCCCAAACGATTTATTATTTTTTTCGTGACCATTTTAGTGTAGAACATTTAGGCCTTCTGTTATGTTTTTCATCAAATACTGGGTTTTTTCGTTTACCAATGCGGAGGGTCAAACATGGTTTTTATGATATATTTTCGTTTGCAATATTGCTGAGAATTATTCCTAGAATACGTTCCCCCCATACGATTTATCACTTTTTTTTAGGCCGATACAAAATGACTCAGTCTAACCCGTATATGTACATTAGGGCGGTCCAAAAAATGAAATTCTTTTCTCACTCCTTAACATTGTAAATTAAAGTATGCAAAAAATGTATGTGAAAACAAAAACATTTTTTTTCGAGATTTAGACCTTGCGAAACGTCTTCAAAGTTTGCTTTAAAATTACTCATTCGCCATGTATAAAAGTTCGAATTTGGTCGAACAAAATCGATCTCCCATGTCTTGTCTTGTCAAATTATGAATTTCGTTGGAATAAATTTTAAAAAAAAGTAGAGCAAAACAACAACTGAATTGTTGATATCTATGCCACCTTGATCAGAAAAACTTTTTGATCGAAGGTAACAGTGCGTATGGGTGATAAACTTTGAAACCAATTCGCTGACCCTAAAACACGATTTTTTTTTAATTTTCTTTTGGTATACCTTGAATACCACAATGCGCACCGTATAAGCGGGTGAGAGTAGGACCTTAAAAATTTCCATACAAATGTGGACCGCATGATTTGTTTTAAATATTTCTGAATTCTAAAAAATATTTTCAGAGCAAAGCTACTTCATGACGCCTGGAATTTGGCTTATGCTGGTGAATTAAACTTTGCAACTGCTCTTAATATGACTTTATTCTTAAAAAATGAACGAAATCATGTAGTATGGAATCCAGTATTCACATTTATTGACCAAATTGGCAGACGTCTTGAAATGTCGTCAGTTCATAGAAAATTTGAGGTAAGCCTAAAATAGTCAGGGTGTTCAATTGCGTTGCAAACTTTGTAAAGTGTAAAAGTGTAAATCAATTCCAACAACAATTTCTATTTGAAAACTATTTTGTATAGAAATTGTTGTTGGAACTGCCTTACACTTTTACACTTTACAACGTTTGCAATACAATTGAACACCCTAAGTATATTTTACAACTATATAGTTTAAAATACACTACACAATTTTTATTTTTCCAGTTGTATATTATAGAACTTTTAGCTCCATTGTATGATAGCTTGGGTCCTGAAAATATTAATGAAGATATATGGAAAACTGACTTGCGAGAATTGACCAAAAGATTTTTGTGCCGTTCGGGCTATCTTCCATGTATTCAGGCTTCACAAAGAGCGTTTAAAGTTTGGGTAAACAGTTCTAATCCAAACCATGAAAATCCGTAAGTAAACGTTGAAAAATAAAACTCATGCTTAGTTTGCAGTTTTTTGATTTAATCATTAACAAAATCAATAAATACGTACTCTCAATTTTGGTAACTATTTAGATTTCTCACATTTCTGCGTCTGTCTACAGTTTTTGGTTCTGATAGTACAATTTTAGTAAATATGCGATGCTTCTTGCTAAGGGGGGAGATACATATAGAAAACAAATAAAATTAAATGTTTTTATTATTTAAATTTGTAATATAACTCTTAAGGGGGGAGATACATACAGAACTGTAATTAAGTTTTTAGTGATTTTTTTTAACCAATAAGGAATTGTGCTGGGATTTCGTAACTTGGCATGTTGATTACATTGTTCTTATATAATTTTACCCAATTTTTATTTTGCTTTTATCTTTCAAAATTGCGGCCGTGGGATCGTCCACAGGTCGCTGTGTAGATCCGATTTTTATGAAACAAAGTTTATTTTGTTAAGAAATAATGTTGTGAGGAGTTGAATAACTCACCACAAATGGCAGCAACAACAATAACGGATCGCCGGCCGCATACCAGTTACGGCGAATTAGCGTAGTAGCTGCGCGGCGAAGAGAGAGTGGAGACTTCAAGGTGAAGAGAGAGTGGAGACTTCAAGGTGAAAAGAGAGTTTGGAGAGTGAGAGTCGGGAGAACAAGGGTGCAGAGAGAGAGAGAAAGTGGAGACTTATCCGGCAGAGCGAGAGTGCAAAAGGGATTAACGGAACAGGCACCGGACTTTGGACTCTGCCGTGGACTTCGGACTAGGAGGTCAAGTCAGAACAACAACTAAAGGCCGTGGGCGATGTGCAAAGGAGTCAATCAGGAACCTTGAACTTTGGACCTGCATTGGAGAGTTGCCGCGGGCAGAGCGCAGAAGGAAATAACGGAACTGCGCCGGACTTTGGACTCTGCAGTGGACGTTGGACAGAGGCCACATCTCCGCAACGGAGCAACACACAAGCGTGCCACATGCACCATCGGGAACAGCGGGATGGCAGCAACACGCAGAAATAAAAGCGGAAGCCATGCGTGAAGGACAAGTGGGTCAAACGGGAACCACGGACTTTGGACCCAGAGTGGAGAGTGGCCGCGGACAGAGCGCAAAGGGGAAATAACGGTACCCGGAGGCCCTATATAAAGCCGCCGGGCGCTGGCAGCAGGATCAGTCGATCACGAAGAGTCAATCTATCAAGATCAGTCCAGATAATCCACGTGAACAAGTCAGCCAGTACAGTGAACAGTCAGTGAGCAACAAAAGACGAGTCGCCGGAAGCAACGCCGTGGGAACCTACAAGGATCAAGATCGCTACGTCGAGACGTTCGGGATTGGATCACCAGGAATCTCCGAATTGAGACACAGGTAGCTGAGGTCCAGAGGGCGTCACACGGCTAGGTCAAGGCGATCCGTTTTCATTCCTGTCTCAACGAAATCCTCGCATCTAGCCTGGAGCGTCGAACAGAACTTGAGTGGTGAAAGCCTGCGACAAGAAATTGTGAGCTTGGGAAGATACCTATCAGCCAGAAGGGAGATCGGTCAATCGTCTGTGGTCTCGAGTGGAGCACTCCAGAAGAGTCCTGCGGTTTGAGTCGTGTAGTCCCGGAGCGGCGTGGGTCCGAACCCCGAGTGAAACGAGCCAGAAGGGAGATCGGTCGAGCGTTTGTGGCCTCAAGTGGTGAACTCCATAAGAGCACTACGGTTGAGTATTGTAGTCCCGGATCGGCGTACGATTAAGACCCCGAGTACCAGAAGCCAGGCTACGTCAAGCCAAGCAGCCACACACCACGACAGATCAAGCTACGAGGAAACGTCAAGGACGATATGCCAAAGGGTGAAGCTAGGGCGGAACGTTCGCTTGCACTAGACGTAGAAGCGAAGTGAAGCACTCGGCAGTATCCCTGCATAACTTGGACTGACAGCGCGATCTGAGTGGAGTGGGACCATCCGGGACAGAGCAAGGGACAGACGGTGGTGCATCGAGAGGAGACACTCCTGGAGATCGCGACCTAAACCCGCGCAGCTGAACTCTTGGCGAGTTTAAGACGCTACGAGTAGTGGTCGATTCCACACAGCCGAGACTAGCAGCGCCAAGCATCTTCAGGGAGCCTCAAGGATCTTCAGGGAGCTGCAGAGATCGTTGAGGGAGCTACAGAACCGGAGCACTCCGTCAACGAGGAGAGCACCAAGTCATCAAGGCGACCAGGAATCGTCGACGGCCTCGAGCGGCCATATCAAGATCACTGTACCGTTACACCCGTAATAAACCCACTAAGACACATGTTGTCATAATCGTCGTCGTAGTCGGACGTGTACTTTACACGTCCATCTGATCGAACTTTACCCGTGTAAACTACATCGATTAATGCCGAATCCGGACATCTTGAAATTTTTTCGGTGATCTTTATCATACTGACAAGTTTTGATAGCTAAACGACAGTGACTTTATACGAAATTCGAATGATTACAATATAATTAGAAAACGTTTTGTCTTTTTGCTTTGTTGTTTTACTCTATTCTCGAGTTTACCGCAAACTTCTATACTGGTGTTGTTGTTAGTACATTTGCTCTCTTATCGTTTCGGCGCGAGCACCACACGCGCGGAAAGCTTATCACTGACCCAACTGCAAGCTGCGCTTTCTACATCTACATCTAAATCTACGTTGTTTTTTTACACGTATGTATTGGACAATTTCTCAATTATTTCGCTATGTTGCCTTTTAAATGGCAAATGCCATCCCGTCAACCCACAATTGGTTGCTGGCTGTGTAATAAAATTGCTCACCCTAAATGTGTCGACCTTGGACACAGTGCTGGCCTAGTCCCAGACCGTACTAAATCCAATTCTGGCCTGGATTGGACCTGCCCCAGTTGCCATCATATTAAAGTCAATATTATGGCTTTCATAAGGCAAACTGATCTGGAGTACCAGTCCTAACTAGCTGGATTTAAGGACTTATTTAATGGGTTTAAAAAGGCTGAATCCAACTTTAAAGGCCGAATCCTGGCAGCTGCTTGCCACAATGCTGTCGCTACCTCGGATCGCGTTCGCGTTGCTGCCGATTCCGGACCGGACACCAGAGCATCTTCTTGTCTGCAATCCGCGGCTCATTCATCTACTGTTTCAACTTCTGTCAGCTCTGGTTATGTTCCAACACTGGAATCCTACCGCTTGGCTACCAGTAATGCCTCTACTGTTGTTACTGACGGCTGCGCGGCAGACGCCTCCCCTGGACTTACACCTGCCGTGGCCTCTTTTGGACCGCCCGATCCCATCGCACCTGCTGATCTACATCGTGGCAACTTTGAACAGGCATCTACGTCGCATGCTGCTGCAGTTAGCTCTGGCATAACTTTGACGCCTGCTAATACGAACACGAGTCCATCACAGTCAACCTTATGTGGAGTAGCTCCAAGGGTTCCCATGCCCTTATCGGGCGTTGCACAAAAAAAACTAATTTTTGTCTGCCGCCTTAATCCTGGCGCTTCTGAACATGACGTCAAAAACTACCTGAGCAGCAAACTGAATGTTTCTCGATCCGTACTTACAGTCTTGAAGTTCAAGTTTAAGCAGAGACGTGAGATATCTTCGTTTAAAATTGGACTTCCTGAGGAACATCTTGATAAGGTTCTAGATGTTTCTATATGGCCTGAACATGTAATTGTTCACGAACATGTACACAAGCACAATCCTCGGGTTCACGGGCCTCAGATTCCTTCAACCAATGCTTCAAAAAACTAAATAATTCTTTTTCTCTACACTACCAGAACGTTCGCAGTTTATTGGGCAAACTTAGTAAACTGCCCGTGAACAGTGTTTCCTTTAATGCCAATGTGATTGCTTTCACCGAAATGTGGTTTAATTCTTCTGTGTCTGACTGCGAAATCTTTTCTGGTAATTATGTTATCTATAGATGTGACCGCTCAGTGCGTCTTGGCGGTGGTGTTCGTATTGCCGTCAAGTCCAATCTTGTCTCTCAACGGATTCCGATAATTGGTACGGATAGTACATTCGAGTTTGTCGCTGTTCGGATTAAGCTTCATGATTATTTTGTTTTCGTATCATGCTCATACATTCCTCCCCGGTCTGATATTAGCCTCTACCTCCAACATTTGGATCGAATACAGAGTATTCATACTACCCTTGGCATAACGATCATCTTATTGTTATGGGTGACTTTAATCTCCCCGCCATTTCTTGGATGCCCTCAACTGATTCAAGTGCTCTTGTTCCTACCACAGCGCATGAGTTTGTACACGGTCTTATTGATCTTTCATTAGGTCAACTCAGTCATTAACTGCTCTAGCAAAGTTTTAGACCTTATTTTTGCCTCGGAGTTCGGAAATGCATATGTAACTCGAATAAGCCCTCTCTCCAATCCTGAAGATCCTATCATCCTATACTTGAGGTTACTTTAGAAGCATCAGCTCCTTTACTGTCATGTCCCGAAATCGAACCAGCAACTTTTCGCTGTTTTCGCAGAGCTAAATTTGCTGAAATGAATAGTCATTTATCCAAACTCGATTGGTCTTTTATGGATTCAAATGATAATTCCTCGCATATTGTAGACCAGTTTTATAGCTTACAATATTCAGCCTTCGATAAGTTCGTTCCCTCATTTCCCACTGGAAACGAGTCTCATAAGCCTCCGTGGTTCTCTCGTCGACTCTTTTTCCTTAAAAACAACATGTCTAGGCTTTTTAAGAAATATAAGAGAACTGGGCTGCAAGTTGACCATTCTAGGTATCTAATTGCTCGTTCAAATTTTGTAGTCCACAATTCCGATTGTTACAACAGTTACCTAAACCGTTGCAGAATCCCAAGCAGTTCTTCGCATTTGTTAATTCGAAACGAAAATCGCAACTATTTCCATCATGCGTTCATCTTGATACAGTATCCGCCTCTAGCGACTCCGATAATGCGAACTTATTCGCACAATTCTTCCAGTCCACGTACTCTTCTTTTAGTTACGATAACACCTCTTCCTACCCATACCCTCTTCCTCATTCCAACTGCTTTTTCACATCCCTAATTAGTGAGGACGATGTTTTACAAAACTTGCAAGGAATCTTTTATTATTCCACTTCATAAAAAGGGAAGCGAGTCGGGCATTAAAAACTACCGTGGTATTGCAAAACTAAGCGCGAGTTTTTCGAATAGCTTATTACCGCTCAGCTACAGCACCAATGCAGTTCAGAAATGTCCCCAACTCATCATGGCTTTATGAAACGAAGATCAACGACTACAAATCTTCTTGAGTTTACTTCAGTCATCAGAAGCGCTTTTAAAAATAATAATCAAACCGATGTTATTTTTACGGACTTCAGTAAAGCTTTCGACTCCGTGAACCATCAGTTATTATTGAAAAAATTAATACTATTAGGATTCCCGATCACGTTAACTAAGTGGATCTCAGCCTACCTGACGAACCGAACTCAAAGAATTGCTTTTAAAAGCACAGTCTCAAACCTTGTTTACGTGACCTCTGGTGTACCGCAAGGGAGCCACCTAGGACCCTTACTGTTTGGAATTTTCATAAATGACTTGCCCCAAGTTGTTCTCTCTGCTCATGTTATGATGTATGCTGACGACGTAAAACTCTGTTTGCCGTTATCGAATCCCGATTCCCAGGCACTTTTGCAAGCTGATCTGAACAATCTGAATTCATGGTGCATCTAAAATTTGTTGTTTTTGAACAATTCTAAATAAAACTTTATGTCCTTTTATCGGAAGAAGCTTCTCCTCACTACATATTCCATTGGGTCGAATGAACTTGAACGCATAAATTTCGTTACAGACCTTGGAGTGTTATTCAACCACAACTTAAATTTCTCTAATCACATTGGTATCATAGTTAGTAAAGCAAAAGGGGTTTTTGCCTTTGTTAAGCGTTGGTCGAAGGAATTTGTGGACCCCTACACCACAAAACATTTATACATTTCCTTGGTTCGTCCAATTCTTGAATACTGCTCGTGTGTTTGGTCACCCCAATATACCATTTATCAGGACCTTATCGAATCGGTACAGAAACAGTTCCTTTTGTTTGCTCTACGTGGTTTAAACTGGGAAACACATCGACACCTGCCATGGTACGTGGATAGACTGCGTCTACTTAACCTGCCATTTCGCGTTTTATGTTCGCAATATAATGAACTGTATTTTTTGATATTTTCGGAATGCCCTGTTAATTTAATTGTAACAAACATCCTAACTTACCTGTCCTTGCCCCCTCCCTTTTGATGTGAGTAGGGTACTATGTTTATGTTGGCAGATATTTGCTAACTTTAAATAAATAATAAATAAATAAATACCCCGAAATTTCTGTGCTTTCTCACTGATCTATTGGGCGGTTACGTTCTATATAAATTTGGTGTCAAATTTGCATCAATAAGATGAGTATTAAATTAATACCTTCAAAAGTATTAAATTGACACTTTTGGTATAGAAATGAAACTACAAAATATTAGGTTAATAATTTTTCATATGAAATGCATTCTACTGAGTATAGAATTTATATTATTTAGGATTGAGTCAATACCACTTTTGTTTTCTACATCTAGTATAGTTTTAATACAACGCTTGGAGAGTTAACACTTTCGATTTTTTTTTTGGGTGTAGAAACTGTCTGAACGTAACTTAAAAATCTATTTTTTTCATAATTTTTTTTTGTTTTTTTTTGGCTATTAAAAAATACTTAAGCGTACAAATTTTTACATAAAGTAGTTTTAGATAGTGGCCAATTTTATTACAAACATTTCTCTAAAAGCAGCACGATGATCGAGGCATTACTTTTTGAGATACACGATCCGCAGCTGAGGAAAACGTGGTTTCGAGAAAAAGGCAGTTAAAGTAATGGAATATATCTACTGCACAAGGAAGGTGGGTGCCGTCATCCTGGTATAAGTTCCAAAATAGGTAGAATTTCTTCGTGAAACTTTCATGACACATTTTTGGAGAGATATTCTACCAATTTAAGGAATAAAAAAACTTGAATTTTTATTTTTTCTATATGTAAATCCCCCCTTAAAGAGTTATTACATTAAATGCGTTTTTCTCGAAACCATTTTTTCCTCAGCTGCGGGGTACCTCAAAAAGTAATGCTTAGATCATCTTGCTGGTTTTACTGTATGTAGAACTTTGTACGTATAAGTATTTTTTGTAAAGCAAAAACAATAAGAAAAATATGAAAAAGAATATATTTTTGACTTTGAAAGCCAGAGTTTTTGAGAGTTTGTAATAGTCTAGTCACACTGTGTGGGGATTACTCCAAAAAAGTGTTTCCACTTGGTTAACTCCAAATATCGAGTAATGACATCTAGTGTTTCTTGTTTGTGTTGTTCATTTGACTAGGGATGGACCTTCAACGATAGGAAATAAATACAAAATATACCGAAATATACAAAAAAATACTCCGAAATACCAAAGACCCTAAAAGTACCCCACTTTTGCCCACATCTAGTTGCCTATACACATCCTATGTAAAAAAAACAGGGTTATGTCAATAACCCCGTAACTCCATAACTCCACCCCAGTGTAAATAGACTATAAGTTTCTATGACAGTTTCTAGATTATTTCTTAACAAAATAAATTTGGTTTCAAAAAATCGGATCTACACAGCGATCTGTGACCGATCCGCAGCTGTCTTACTTTTTGAAGTGTAACTTCTTTAGACGCGTTATGCATTTTCGGGGACGGAGTAAAACCAATTCATGACAGTCACTAAAATCTTCTTCTTCTCTATCACCGCTGACGAACGTTCTCTTTATACTTTGAGCGCTTAGAGCGAAGAGAGAAAAAAAGAGATATACGTACAATGTATATATATTTATGTGTATATATTTGCACATAAAAATATAAATATATATATTTGAATTTTTATGTGTATATGTGTATTTGCACCATGTGCGAGCACACTCAGAGTGAAGAGAAATCCATGTTTTTTATACATAAACAAAAACTGACTAAATTTGAAATACCATTTAACGGGATGCAGAATCCAAGTTGAAGCTTCTTTTTGTCAGAGGTAGTACATTTGCATTCGTTTCATAGGACTATATAAAAAGAACTCCCAGAATCGGTATAAAAACCCGTGAGTTTTATTTTTGATAAAAAAAAATTAAAATCAATCATTATTTTTGAGTTTTATTTTTTCCGATCAGAAATAATGATTATTTTCATGAAATAATAAATATTTTTGAGGAATATTATAAAAATCTTAAAAATAAAAATCATGGTGAAAATGGATAGATTAACCAAAGAGGATTCCTATGGTGTTTTCCTTTTTTGCATACGTCGATCCTAAGTGCTTGATATCAATAATCATTATTTACGGTGCCTGGTAATTTGTAATTCTTATATTGTTGTTTATGTAGTTTTGCATAGGGGAGTGTAGGGTAATTTGACGAGTAGGGTAATGTGACGAACTCGTCGAATCTCACATATGACGTCACCATAAGAATTTCGAATAAATGTAGTTTAAATGTAAATGTATGTTTTTACAGTAATATTATTAAGAAGCCCCGTAATATGTTCGTGTGGTAATTTTTTCTGAAAAGGTGGTGCACAAACTAGCAGACCTTTTCATTTTTCTTTGTGTTTCAGCTGTGCCAAAGCGAAGATGAGTGAAAAATAAAATCAGATAAATATGTATAAGCTCGTGCAAATGAGATCTTATACAACAGTTTTTGATACTTGGCGTTTTTTTTTGTTTGCGCCGTTTGAGAGTGACACCGTTTGTAGGGTATCGTGACGAACCTTTTATATTGTATGGTGACAAATATTTTTTATTCACAAATTTTAATTGTTATTGTTGATTTTGTGTAAAAAACTCTAATATTACCTGATAACATTAAATGCTGCAGTTTTATTGTAGTTTTGTATTGATTTTAGTCGTGCCGTCAGTTGGATGGGATGGCTCACGCCAAAAGCAGTGGGATCTAACTCCGATGGATTTTCGAATCGTACTTTCAAAAAAATATGCTAAGTAGATGTAAGCAACTTTCTGCTTTAACACTTTTAAAAAATATTGATTTGTGGTATAGTTACATTAAAAAACAAATCGTTCGACACATTACCCTACAATTTTTAAAAGTGCAAAAAAAGAATGGTTCACGCCAAACGCTGTAGGATTTAGCTGCGTTTGAATTTCTAATCGTACTTTCACAGAAATATGCTCAGTGGTTGTAAGCAACTTTTTGCTTTAACACTTTTGAAAAAATTGATTTTTGGAAAAATTGCATTCAAAAATGGAATCGTTCGTCACCTTTCCCTACACTCCCCTACTATATGAAATAAGCCAAATCCATGCTTCGTCCTTGAATTATTGGACCTATAATCATCAAACTAACCTAAAACAGAAAAAAGAGATAATGAAATGATGGGAATACTACAAGTTTCACTTCTGTCGTGCGTAGGCTTGACATACCCATTTTTTTAAAAAGGCCTGACAAAAACATTCCCACGGCCGCCATTTTAAAATATACAAAAAAAATTAAAATTGGTTTAAATTGTATAAGAACTATGTAATCAACATGCCAAGTTGCGAAATTCCAGTGCAAAACCTTTTTGGCTAAAAATAATCACGAATAACTTGAAAAATTTGCAGTTCTATATGTATCTCCCCCTTACCAAATGAATATTACCTGTTTGTAACCATTTTCCATTTAAACCTTTTGCAGTGTGCCTAACGAGTATATATGTCCAGTGTTTAAGTGGGGCTCTATGAAGGAATGGATGTTTGGATTGGAACGAATAAGTCAGTTTCCAAAACTGCGTCTTCAAAGTGATCGAACATTTTTATTAAAAATGCTAGCCGGATGTCCAGCACAGCGAGAAAAAATTTATCATCTACTCGAATTGGCGATTTTAAAAAATATATCTTTTTTTTCCGACAACGATAAAATCTTAATTATTAACATGGTTACCACTCGATCTATCGGTTACACAACACTTTTGGACTTCCTTTCAATCAATTGGGCTTACGTACATCAAAAGTAAGAGAAAACATAATTCTTGATCTCACCGTAGGTTGATTTGCACGAAAGCAATATATATAGATTATAAGTTTAAGTTTATAAGCTTACAAAATAATATTCTTGGAAAGCTCCAAAGCAATTGATGGCAAATTCTGTTAGTGTTGGACCCCCAAATTACGAAAATACGACAAATTTTTTTTTCGATGGCAAAGTTTTTTTTTTTTTAAGGTTTTTTAAAGTTCAAAATGTTAAAAAACAAGTTAAATATCGGACTTTTTTCGAATTTCTTCTTATATCTTGGCAGATATCCATCCGATTGGGCCAGTTTTGTTTTATTTTAAAGTCAATAGATCAGAGCTTTAACTGTTAACATTTTGAACTTTAAAAAATCATCAAAATAAAACTGTGCCATCGAAAAAAAAATTAGTGGTATTTTCGTGATTTGGGGGTTCAGCACTAACAGAATTTGCCATCAATTGCTTTGAAGCAGTTTGGCTGTAAACTAGTGTTATTTGACTTAAAACAGTTTTGAGCGGCGAATTTTTTCTTTGTCATTTACCTAAATAAACTTTGCCACATTAGTTTTAAAATACGCATACGCGCAAATAACTGCATTTAATTGTACCCATTTACTCTACCAGTAATATTGTATTCGGCGAAAAGTGTGTCAGATTGGTTATCGCACATTAATAAATTTTGGCCTAAGAATAAAAATTAATGCCCAGTTTCTCGAGTGCCGGCTAACATTTCTCGTACAGATTAAGTCCCTGCTAAGGCATTTTGGCTTGGTCGAGCATCAATGTGAGAGCTAACTTTGACAGGGACTCGGAGTCTCTGTTAAGCGTTTTCGGCTCGATAGAATGACAGCTGATTTCCCAAAGCCAACTAAGAAGAAACGAAATCACAGCTGACTTTTCCTTTGAATTATACCCAAACAGCTGATAAAATAATCGAAGCACGCAATTTTTTGCGCTTTACAGCACAATTCTGTGCGTTAACAGCACTGTGTAATTGTTTCTCGTTCAGATCAATTAACGCAGTCGAGAAATTGGATTTGCTTGAACAAACAGTTTATCTGGTCGTTAAGTTTTTCGGACAGATAGCTATCAGGGACTTTGACAGGGTCTCAAGAAACCGGAACTAAGAGGATTAATTAATAATTACGTGTTAGTCTAACTGGAACATTAAAAGTTAGGCGGCTTACAAGTTCTACAGAATCAATATCACCTCTTATAAGATTATGCATAAAAATAGTACCAAGCATTATTCTACGATTTGCAAGTGTTGGTAAATTAAGCAATAATAATCTACTCTGGTAGAAAGGTAGCCTTACGTTTTGATCCCAGTTCAAACTACGAAGAGCAAAAAGAAAAAAATTTTTTGTACCGACTCTTTACGGTCAATGTGCACTTGGTATTGTGGGCTCCAAGCCGAAGAACAATATTCCAATATAGGACGGACAAGGGAGGTAAATAATAATTTGGTTATATAAGGGTCGTCAAATTCTTTTGACCAACGCTTTATAAATCCAAAAACACTCATAGCTTTGTTGACAGTCAGCATTATGTGGCAGTCAAATTTAAGCTTCGGGTCCAGAAGAACGCCTAAATTATTTACTGAATATATACGGTCAAGTGGCAAGTTCTGAAGCAAATATTATATAAACGTTTGACCCTATGAAAGGTCATCACAGTTCAAATTTCAGTTCAAATGTTATACTCACACCATACTTGAAAATGATCAATGTCTGATTGTAAGCCGAAACCAAACTCTATTGTATGTCAAACAAAGCTTAACATCATCAGCATACATTAGTACTCAAGAATTTGTTATGATGGAGGGAAGATCGTTAATAAACAGAGTAAACAGCAAAGGACCCAGTTGCCAACCCGGGGCACTCCACATGTCATGTGGATCATTTTAAAAACAGCGTTCTTAAATATAACCCTCTGAGTCCTCCCATTCAAATAACGGAGTCAAAAGCTTTACTGAAATCTGTATATATAACGTGCATTTTATTGTTAAATCCATTTATTACAATAGATGACAATTCAAGTAGGCTGGTGGTAGTCGATCTTCGCTTAACGAAACCATGCTGACACGGTGATATTAGCGAGGAACATAAATGAGATGTGATGATACGTTCAAAGGCTTATGGAATTGCCGACAATTTAGAAATCCCTCTATAATTCTGGGCATCCGCCTTCGCACCCTTTTTGTGAAGTGGAATAATAAAAGAGTCCTTCCAGATAGTCGGAAAAACTGATGATGAAATAGGCAAATGAAAGAGTTTATGAATAGGTTTGCAGATGATTGATGCACAAAACCTAAGCACACACCCAGGAAGTGTATCAGGACCGGGAGAATAAGTTGGCGTTGTTGTTGTTAAATCTCTTAAGAGATTTTTACCATGAAGAGGACCTATAATAAACAGAGTAAACAGCAAAGGACCCAGTTGCCAACCCGGGGCACTCCACATGTCACGTGGATCATTTTAAAAACAGCGTTCTTAAATATAACCCTCTGAGTCCTCTCATTCAAATAACGGAGTCAAAGGCTTTACTGAAATCTGTATATATAACGTGCATTTTATTGTTAAATCCATTTATTACAATAGATGACAATTCAAGTAGGTTGGTGGTGGTCGATCTTCGCTTAACGAAACCATGCTGACACGGTGATATAAGCGAGGAACATAAATGAGATGTGATGATACGTTCAAAGGCTGGAATTGCCGACAATTTAGAAATCCCTCTATAATTCTGGGCATCCGCCTTCGCACCCTTTTTGTGAAGTGGAATAATAAAAGAGTCCTTCCAGATAGTCGGAAAAACTGATGATGAAATAGACAAATGAAAGAGTTTATGAATAGGTTTGCAGATGATTGATGCACAAAACTTAAGCACACACCCAGGAAGTGTATCAGGACCGGGAGAATAAGTTGGCGTTGTTGTTGTTAAATCTCTTAAGAGATTTTTACCATGAAGAGGACCTATAAGTATATTGGAAAAAGTCGGCAAATAAATCAGCAATTTCAGAATCTGTCGATGCCTCCATTGAGTTAAATCGAACCGATGAAGGCAAAGCTGATGACTTACGCTTTGCGTTGACAAAGTTATAAAACTGCTTCGGGTCATTTGAAAATTCAAATTTACAGCGATCTAAATACATAGAATAGCAATGACTGTTAAGAACGTTAAAATCGGATCGAGCCACCACATATTTCGAAAAATCGGATGGCCTACCCGATTTATTATACTTTTTATAAGTGTTTGATTTAAGATTTTTAAGTCTTTGAAGTGCATTTGTAAACCGGGGGGGCCTGTTCGGCTTTGGAGGAAGCCTATCAGGAACGCATTCATTAAAAAAGTGTTTAGAACGCTGTAGGAAAGTTCGGTTGCACTTTCGATGTCCACACAGTTATAAAGATCTGTCCAATTATATTGCTAAATCATTAGGTTAAGTTTATTATAGTCACATTTCCGAAAGCTTCTCATTTTAGTTGGAGAAATAAAAGGAGAGGTGGTATCAAGATAGGGTAGGCAAACGGTCAATTCCATAGTTGGAGAAATTAAAGGAGAGGTGGTATCAAGATAGGGTAGGCAAACTGTCAATTCCATAGTTGGGTGGTATCGGTCTTCTGGTACCACAAGAACGTCAATTCTAGATACTGTGAATTCAAACGGCTCTGAAACAAACACAAGATCTAATTGTCTATTTAATGAATTTCGTATAAAGCTAACTTGCTGTAACGATAATTCTAAAAGACCATCCACAAAATCATGGGTGGATGAAGGTAACGCGTCAAGTGAGTCAGAAGGGGGGACCAAGATATATCAGGGAGATTAAAGTCACCCAAAACAATGAAAAGGGGCCTATTGGAAAAAAAGGATAGAATAGATTTAATAGCAGATAGCCCTTGCTCATAAATTATTGGGTCAGAGCCAGGCGGAATATACTATTATGTAATAAAAATAGTCAAGGATTGCAGAAAAACTTTCACACAAACAAATTCAATGTCATTAGAGACATGAGAGTGACGGCAATTTAAACGCCGGCCCCCATACGGGAAAGGCGATCGTTTCTGTAGGTACTAAAGTTGTTTGACAGAACTTCAGAGTCGGTTGTATCTGGTTTCAGCCAAGTTTCAGTAAAAGCCAAAATATCGTCCGTAAACGCCGAGGAGTCAGCATAAAGCTTGGGTAGCTTCATGTTAAGTCCTCTAACATTTTGGTAAGCCAAAAATAAACTTTTTAGTTTTTTGGAGTCGTGGAAGGCCTGTTATTTTTTCTCGGTTTATTTGGAACAAATTCTTTAATTACCAGATCATCATTAGGCCAAAAGCTTTCAGGAAGTAGTATATTAAATACATCAGGCGGAGCAAAAATTTTGAAAGACGATTCAACCGCAATATCCTCGGATGGGAATTTTTCTCGAATAAATTCCAAAACATCCTCAGATGTGGTAACAGGCGTAAATCTTGAAACAAACAATTGCACCCTATGTGGGACAACTGAAAGTATCTTACGCTCCCCAGCAGCAGTCTGAACATTACACAGCTGTGAGCCAGAAACGGCTCGTTTGGGTACAACTGGCAGTTTCTTTCGCCCCAAAATAGCAGTCTGAACGTCAACTGAGAGACAGAAACGGCACCTACTGAACCTGTGGGTATGCTCGACACCGAGTTGATTGACTCCTGCGGCATTTACATTCGCATTTACTGTCGTTGAGCTAGCTTTTCTGCGCTTGGGCGACTCGGTTAAAAGTTTTTTATTATTAAATTGGTCGCAAACGGGATTGAACCCGTCATTTAGCTGTTTAAAAACTTGTGAAAGGTTCAATAGGCCGTCTCGAGTCTGCCCCCTGCAGGACTCACATGTCCACATGAGACCAGTACGCAGTTCAATGTAGTCTTTTACTCTGCCGGTAAAACCTGCACATTTAACGAGCATCATCCCTTCGCAGAGCTAACAGAAAATAAAAGGGCCTTTAGTAGAAAGAGTACAATTTTTTTAGAA